GGGGGGGGGGCACGATTCTGAAGGAGGAAGAGAGAGCATGCCCCCTCTCGGCTGCGCGACCGGCTTCCGCTTTAGAGCCCCGCAACGACGAGCGAGCTCCGCGAGCTAGACCTCTTCTTCGGCGGGTGACAGAGGGGCAGGCATTTAGCTCGCGTAGCTCGCTCTTGGCTTGTCTCTATCCCCGCTTCTGGCCCCCAAAAGCTTTTTGTCTCGCGCTCTCTGCTTGACGTTTCGGCCCCCAAAAAGGCCGTGTCCATGGCCGCGTATAAAGCCTGGATACAGCCGCCGTCCGGCGCAGGCCGCGCGCGCGGCTTCGACCTCCGACCGCGGTGCCGGGCTGCTGGGGGCGGCGCGGGCCGCCGCGGGGATCGCCGCCGGACGACCGACCCGGGCCGTCCCCCTGCTGCCCTCGATGTTGTGGACCCGGGGCCAGCGTATCTTTCTATAGGAGCTGGAGGAGGGAGGGAGGGCGGGAGAAGGGAGGTACGCTCTGCCTATCGCAGTTTAGTTATATTACCACAGTACGCATTTTTCTCGGGATGTCCTCCTTATCCGCCGGCACGGACTCGAGGGGAGCGCCCGCAGAGGCCCGCGTATGCAACCCGCTCGACTGCCATGTGCGGCCGCCGGCCTACCCGCCCGACCCCAGGCGCTAAGGCAGCCCGTGCGAGAAACGCAGCCCTTCAACCCGTGCCTGCTAAAAGCCATTTTGAAAAATCTTTCCGGATCATTACTGTTACGACCCACAGTTAAAGTCTTACGAAGCAAAATGCCAAATGCTTCGTACCTACGAAGGATTTGCTCCCTACGAAGCGTCCAAATCCTTTCTATTACAAAGGATTTGGCATTTTTCTTCGTAAGACTTAAACAGTGCCGACCTTTAATAATGACCAATATGTAGCTTCTATAGAATCCTGCAAATAATGACTCCTGCAGTTGAAAATTATCATGTCGTGAAAAACAAAATGGCGAGGGGTAATGATTTTTGGGGTGTTGAGCCTATGCTAGGCGGCTGGCGGCCGCGCGCGGCCCTTAGGGTGCACCTGCCTGAGGTAATCGTGTTGAGTTAGGGCGCGGTGGGGCTGGGCGGGGCAAGGGCGGGGCAGGGCCGGAGGGTCGAGGGAAACATGTTTTGTTCGGTCGACAACTCGTCACCGAGTTTGGAATTCTGTTTGGCGCGACAAGATGCAAGCTGCTGCCGCTGCCGCCGCCGCCGCCGCTATGTCGAGCGGGCAGGGCGGATGGAGCAGCAGCGCGGAAGGCGACAATTGGTCCGGGAAGTTGCGTCGCCATGGCGGCCGTGGCCCTCGGCTGCTGCTCCACGCGCCTGCAAACGTGCGACCCTTGTTAGACGCTTTGCGCCCTCCTCGGTCAGGCCGGCCGTCGGCCCCCTCAGCGACGGCTGCAGCAGCAGCGGAGTGCAGTTTGTCAAGTTCGCTACGAGTGCGTGGCAGGGCGCTGTGCCGGAGCTGGAGCTCAGGTTCCGGCGACTCTGCCGGAATTTGCCGGAAAATAAGTATAGTTATGGAAAATTTGGAAAAAAAATGTGAAAAAAACAATATCCTAAATTTTTTCTAATAAATTTCATTTCTTCCGATTTTTTCCTTCGAAAAATTTTAGGGCTTTACAATCCATAGTTTTTGTTTTTTTTTGTGTTATTTCTCTTTTTTATCTGACTCAGTCTTAGTAGACGAGCAAACTCGTACAATTGTACCACTAAGAAGTACATATGCGCATTGTCATTTTATATGAACACTGTATTCTGTGCTGACGACGGCTCCTTCTCGCGCAGGGACCCCAACAGCGCCATGGACAACATCCCTCGCGCGCCGACTGACATCCCCGAGGACCTCAGGCAAGGCGTGGACCTGGAGCCGCCGCCCTTCTGGGACACGTACGACGCCATCAACCAGATCTACCTTGAGCTGGGTGAGTACACACACACGAGTAAGGAGTGCGGGTCAAAGGGAGTCCTCTCGGAAAATGTTGACTCCTCTTCACTCTAAATGTAAAGGGACAATTTTGTTCCTTAAAAGGGAACGTTGTTGTGTACATCCACGCACACTCTAAATGTAGAGGGACAATTTTGTCCGTAGATTTGGAACCGATTTGTGCACATCCAGAAAGGATGAAATCTTGTTCCTAAAACTAGACAAATTGTGTGAGACTTTACACAATTTTGCCCAATTTAAGGAACAAATTTGCATCCTTTCTAGATGCGCACGAATCAGTTCCAAATCTGTGGACAAAATTGGTGCACCGGTTGCAATTTTGTTCCTAAGACCGGACAGGCCGGACAGATTGTGTTTTACAACTTATCACAGCTGTTTAAAAAACTTTATACACAGTTTGTCAAGTTTTAGGAACAAAATTGCATCCGTTGTGGATGTGCACGAAAACGTTGTCTGCTTCTTAGGAAGAAAATTCTCCCCATTGTCCCTTTACATTTCCCGTTCGTAAGCACCATGTCGTGATGTCTACGAGACTTCTAAAATTAGCCACAATTTTGTTTAAAGTTTAACATGAAGCTGTACTAAAATATTTCAAAATCGAGTCTATTAAAACCTTTTAAGTCACGTTTGCGAGAAAAATTAAATCGCGCCGTAAATATAATTTTGTGGCTGTTTCCGCACACGCTATTTCAGCGCGAAGCGGATAATTTCCCGAAATATTACATCCCTCTTGCGGCTCCCTCGGGCTGCTTATCAGAGAGGGTTGGCGGCGGGGTCGAATGTGATGGACCCGGACGCTCCCCCCCCCCTCACCCCCTAATCAGATCCCCTCGACAGGAGGCCAATCCTCCAGGCGGCGGCGCCCCCCCCCCTCTCCCCCACCTTGCTGGGGCCTCGGCTTATTAAAGGGCCCGACTGCACAAGTGTTGTGTTGATCTCGAGGGGAGGAGGAGGGGGAAGCTTTTGAGGTCGGCCACCGCGTCCCGTCCGCCGTCCTTCCGCGGCCCCGCACATTGCTTCCGTTTGTGTGTCTCTCTCTTCATTGAAAACATGGCGGCTTTCGGCTCGGCAGAGAAGAGTAAAAGAGGAAGAGAGTATGCCTCTCTGCGGTGGGG